AGAGGAGAACTGAGGACCCTTTCATACAACACAAGAAAATATTTTTACAACCAAAACCTCTAAACTCTGGAACACCCGCTGTACGTAAAGACTGCTCCTGTTTCCAGGGCTGAGGTATATATATTTTGGTATATACAGAGAGGAGGGGGGATGGGCTATATACCTTCTGTGTAGTATTGTGGAAAATATAATAAAACATTTTTAAAGCTGAACTCCGGGATCAGCAAATATCATCCTCATACCAGAGTCATGTGACTTCTTCCTGAATCTTGGTGAGCTTTGTGTATTTCTTCCAGATCTGTGCAGTAATCCAGTGTGAGGAGCTTCCTGTGATACAGACCGGTCACTGCTGCTCTCTCCTTGTCCAGGGTGGCTGGTCTTGTCTCCGCCCCCTCCTGCAGTTTCCTGTTGTAGGTGGAGCCTGATGGCCCCTCCCACTGCCCTACTCTTTGCACAGACTTTGTGCAGCACAGTGATGATGTCACTGCTACTTTAGATAAGTTAATATCAGAGTTTGGAAAGGTATTTGGTGCCCAGGAAGTGGATTTGTATCCTCGGTGGTTATTGCGCAATATATTGTAATGAAAGTTTTTGTGTCCGGAGTTCAGCTTTAACCACTTAGTGACTGCAATCAGTACAGAGAACAGAACTCGGGCCGATGTGTGTGGCATCCAACTGTTTATCTTGCACTGCCGGTCACGTGTTCTCTGCATGCATGTGCAGGTATTGTGTGGGGATCTGGAATGGGGTCCCGCCGATGTGTGATGGCACATTGAGTTCACATGTTCCATACACCCGGCCTAATGGCCCACCAAGGAGGTCTGCATGATGTCACCTGCTGCTGTCTGCCCGGTGCATGTGCACACGCATGTGAGTGTGTGTATGTCACGCATGTAAATATGAACATGTACAGCTTATTCAGCACCGATTCAATACAGGTAAGTCTCTGACCCTACCTACCTACCCACCCACCTCCTTACCTATAACCACCCGACCTACCAAAACCCTCCTGCCTATCTAACCACCCACCTACCTACATACCCAGCCACCTTCCTACCTTACTACCTGCCTACCCACCCACATTTCTACCTACCCACCCACTCACCTACCTTCCTACCAACCTACATACCCATCTTCCTACCTACCTACGCACCCACCCACCTTCATACCTATCTACATTCCCTCCTACCTACCTACCCACCCACTTGCCTGCAAACCCACCCGCCCACCTACCTACCCAGCCATCCACCAACCTACCTAAAATACCTCCCTACCTACACACTAATCTTTCTACCTACCACCCACCTACCTACCTCTGCCTCATGTACAATCTTCCAGCCGTGCATGTTCAGGAGGAGAGGTGGTCAGGGACGTCCTGTGTGTTCCGTGTGATGGGATCTGTGTGTGTCTGCGGATGATGATGATGGCGCAGTGACACACGAGTGTGATATAGTCACTATAGCGTGCCCTGTGTATATGTGATCCCGGCACACATTGCAATCATTGGACATTCCGAATCCTGGGACAGATCCTTGTGGGCGGGGAATCGGGATAATTGAGGAGTAGCGCTCACACATACTGTAGTGCAGACACATTATATTCTATAGCGCAGCATTGCAGACCCATAAAGGACACAGCAGCCGGCAGGTTATTCATATGGTTCCCTGTTAAAGAGAACATGTCACCATATGTGTAATATGCAGGTCACACATGAACAGCATGCCCCTGCCATGACTTATTTCAGGCTCAGGAATGGGGAGTCTCCGTATGAGATGTAGAGGTGTGTTGTAGCAGTATGTCTATGTGGTGATGGGTGTGTGGTGTCGGTGGTAGGGGGTGTTGCGGTTATATTTGGGGATATCTAGGCATGACCTTTACACTCTTCTACATTTTTCTAGCAAAAAAAAAAGTTAAGATAGTGAAAACGGTGAAAGTTCTGAAGAAGTCCAAAGAAGAGGCTAAGCCAAAAAATTCAGGAGGACCCCAAGAGGAACGTATGTACTGCATGAGCAATGACGCTTCGTATACTGTGCCGACCTCCCGTCTGACCCTCTGCCTGTTCACACAGCCCTCATCAGCCATGTACAGGGCACTCTGCACCTTCTTTCCTGCCTGACCCTCGGCCTGTTCACACAGCTCTCATCAGCCATGTACAGGGCACTCTGCACCTTCTTTCCTGCCTGACCCTCGGCCTGTTCACACAGCTCTCATCAGCCATGTACAGGGCACTCTGCACCTTCTTTCCTGCCTGACCCTCGGCCTGTTCACACAGCTCTCATCAGCCATGTACAGGGCACTCTGCACCTTCTTTCCTGCCTGACCCTCGGCCTGTTCACACAGCTCTCATCAGCCATGTACAGGGCACTGTGTATCTTCTTTCCTACCTGACCCTCTGCCTGTTCACACAGCTCTCATCAGCCATGTACAGGGCACTGTGCACCTTTTTTCCTGCCTGACCCTCTACCTGTTCACACAGCTCTCATCAGCCATGTACAGGGCACTGTGTATCTTCTTTCCTGCCTGACCCTCGGCCTGTTCACACAGCCCTCATCAGCCATGTACAGGGCACTGTGCACCTTCTTTCCTGCCTAACCCTCTGCCCGTTCACACAGCCCTCATCAGCCATGTACAGGGCACTGTGCACCTTCTTTCCTGCCTAACCCTCTGCCCGTTCACACAGCCCTCATCAGCCATGTACAGGGCACTGTGCACCTTCTTTCCTGCCTAACCCTCTGCCCGTTCACACAGCCCTCATCAGCCATGTACAGGGCACTGTGCACCTTCTTTCCTGCCTAACCCTCTGCCCGTTCACACAGCCCTCATCAGCCATGTACAGGGCACTGTGCACCTTCTTTCCTGCCTAACCCTCTGCCCGTTCACACAGCCCTCATCAGCCATGTACAGGGCACTGTGCACCTTCTTTCCTGCCTAACCCTCTGCCCGTTCACACAGCCCTCATCAGCCATGTACAGGGCACTGTGCACCTTCTTTCCTGCCTAACCCTCTGCCCGTTCACACAGCCCTCATCAGCCATGTACAGGGCACTGTGCACCTTCTTTCCTGCCTAACCCTCTGCCCGTTCACACAGCCCTCATCAGCCATGTACAGGGCACTGTGCACCTTCTTTCCTGCCTAACCCTCTGCCCGTTCACACAGCCCTCATCAGCCATGTACAGGGCACTCTGCACCTTCTTTCCTGCCTGACCCTCTGCCTGTTCACACAGACTTTATTAGCTATGTATAAGGCACAGTGCACTTCTCTCCTGCCTGTCTGTTCACACAACCTGTTGTCAGCCATGTACAGAGCACAGTGCCCCTTATCTCCTGGCTAGCTCCCTGCCTGTTCACACAGCCTTTATCAACCATGTACAGAGCACAGTGCACCTTCTCTCCTGTGTGATCCTCTGCCTGTTCACTCAGATATTATCAGTCGTGTACAGGTCTGCCTGTTCACACAGCCTTTATCATTCACGTACACAATACAGTGCACCCTCTCCCCTGCCTGACCCTCTGCTTGTCCACTCAGCATTTATCAGTCACGTGCAAGGCATGATTTACTTTCTCTCCTGCTTGACTGTCTGCCTGTTCACACAGCCTTTATCAGCCACACACACAGTACAGTGCACCTTCTCTACTGACTGACACTCTGCCTGTTCACACAGCTTGTTGTCAGCCATGTCCAGGGCACTTTTTCTCCTGCCTGATTCTCTGCTCATTCACTCAGCATTTATCAGTCATGCACAAGGCACCTTGTCCTCTCACACAACTCATTGTCAACCATGTTAAAGGCACAGTGCAACATATCTTCTGCCTGATTCTCTGCACGTTCACTCAGCATTGATCAGCGCAAGACACAGTTCACCTTCTCTTCTGCCTATCTGTCTGTCTGCCCAGCCTTACATCTGCACAATGCACCTTCCACCTGCCTGTTCATCCAGCCTGTTTCAACCACATATAAGTCAGTGTGCACCTTCTTTCCTGCCTGTTCACACAGCCTTTATCTGCTAAGTACAGGGCACTGTCCACCTTCTATCTTGCTTGGCTCCTTGCCTGTTCACACATCCTTTATCAGCCAAGTACAAGGCACAGTGCATCTTCTCTCCTGCTTTGTCTCTGCCCACGCTGACTTTTATGAACTTTGTACAGAGAACTGTTCACCTTTCTCCTGCCTGACTGTCTGCCCCTTCACACAGCGTTTTATCAGCTGTGTATAGGACACACTGCACGTCTCTTTCACCTCATTCTCTGCCCATCCACTGAAACTTCATCTGCCATGTACAGGGAACCATGTACGTCTCTCCTCTCCATTTCCCTGCCTGCTCACACAGCCAGCTCATCCTCTCCCCAACCCCGACCCTGATCGTTCACATATCCATCCATCGTTCACCAATCATCAGCTTTCTATTGTCGTCTGTACACAGTTCTCAGCATGCAGTTGGTTACTACGCTGACTCATTTGCTTGTGTGTGTTAGCTTGAGCTACTGAGCTCTGTACAAAACAGCAAGGGGATTCTTTCAGCAAAGCTGATCAGGAAACACATGCTGAGCTTGGGAGAAGGAGACGGAGAGCTCCCCCTGCTGGCTGCATATGAGAAGTCCAAGTATTCATATGAACTATTTAATAATTCTCTAACTTAAAAAAACATATTTATTGTATTTGTATTTTTTTAGCCTTAACCATAATTAAAAAAAACATTTATAAATCCCCTCTAGGTTCCCTTTTAATGTCAGGCCCAAAACCTTTTTCATTTTGGATAGAGTGGGGAAGGATAAGGCTTTTACTGCACTTGGCGGCTCTGTTAGAGTCGTAGCCTAACTTCCTGTTTTGTTGGCAATGGAGACAGGAAGTGAGAGAAAATCTGTAACACACACAGCAATAAAAGCTGAAGAGGTTCTAGCCTTCCGCTACTCTGTAAAAACATTTTTATTTGTGTTTGATTTTTTTTTCTGTGAGACTTCCCCTCACTTCCTGTTTGGCAAAAGGTTCTCAGAAGGACAGGAAGTGAGGGACAATCTCTATTAACAAAGTCCCTGATGGCAGTAAAAACTTGACATGGGTTTTCACCCTTCACCGCTCTGTCCAAAACTAGAAAAAAATTGTTTGGTTTGACATACACTTTAACCCCTTCCCGTCCAGCCATTGTACACCAGTGACATGCGGCACCTCTTGTTCCCGGTGAGGCATTGCCCAGCGCGCCTGCCGCCGGCTGAAGCCCCACCCTGTCTGACCAATATCTGCCCTCGCTGGACGAAGCCCCACCCCCAATCAGTCCCCAAGCTAGTGTAAAGGAGGAAGGTAGGAGACAGGGAGGAGCCTCCCTGTCTCTCACTTGCTCATCACTGCAGAGGCATCGAGATCGATGGCCTCAGTGGGTTTTTTTCTTTTGTGGATTGGACAGCTTGGACCGATGGTGCTTTGCCATTGGTCCAAGCCATCCACAGAGCTCACGCCTCTAACACAGAGTAGAGGCTGTAACAGCTCTTGCCTCAGTAGGTTAGGTTACACAAGCAGTGGAGAAGCCCGCTGCTGCGAAACCTAACTACCTGTCAAAAGCCGGATGCACCGATGCCTGTAATTAACAGGCAGCGCTCCTTCCATGACAGGTTTTACAGCGGGGAGGCTTTCCCTGCTGTGTAACCTGTAACAAGCCGATCTGAATGGAGAAAAAGCTGTCAGCTTCAGACCTGAAGCTGACACACTCCCTGTCTCTCACTTGCTCATCACTGCAGAGGCATCGAGATCGATGGCCTCAGTGGGTTTTTTTCTTTTGTGGATTGGACAGCTTGGACCGATGGTGCTTTGCCATTGGTCCAAGCCATCCACAGAGCTCACGCCTCTAACACAGAGTAGAGGCTGTAACAGCTCTGGCTTTAATAGTTAGGTTACACAAGCAGTGGGGAAGCCCGCTGCGGTGTAACCTAACTACCTGTCAAAAGCTGGATGCAGCACTCCGTCTATGACAGGTTACACAGCGAGGAGGCTTTCCCTGCTCTGTAACCCGTTAGATGCCGATCTGAATGGAGAAAAAGCTGTCAGCTTCAGACCTGAAGCTGACAGCTTTTTCCTCCCCTGACCGCACGTCCCTGTTGTACACTCTTGAAAGCGGATGGGCGTTTTAAAACATCCTTTCCTGCTCCCGCTCATGTGCGCACAAGTGGGAAATGGACAGCATTTTAAACAGCTGGCTGTTTACATACAAGCATTCATGCCGCTCTATAGCGTTGCATGCAAGTCTGCGCCCCCCGCCTATCCTGGACTCCTCGGTCCCCAATGCAGGCCGAGAACCGGCACGGCGGCTCTCTGAACTGAGATAGGAGATCAGCACACATCCTCCCGCTGACCTCCCCTCCGGACTCTGAATGTGGAAGGGATGTGTATGACATCACTTCCGCCTTCAGCTGTCATTTCCTCTGGCTTCTGTAGCCAAAGAGAAGCTGGGGAAGCAAGTCTCTGCTTCATCAGCTTTTTTGGTGGTCCATAGGTGACATTAGGAGTCTAATAGACCCCTGATATCTCCTTAAAGAGGACCTGCCACTGTATATTTCCTATCACATAGGGGGATTCTAAGGAAAAGTTTTTTTTATAGTAAAGCAGTATAAGCAGTGGTGATTAAATACCACCAAAGGAAAGCTCTATCTGTCCCCAAAAAATGGTGTAAAATTCATGTCAGTACAGCATTGCATGACGGAATAAATGTCAGTCAAAGTACCGCAGCGCTGAATACTGAAAAATGTCCGGGACAGGAAGGGGTCTAACACCGCGGTCAGCAAGTGGTTAATAAATCCGAATCCTCCTTGAAGGTGTCAGCTGAGAGTCTTCTATGGGGCACGTTATGCTGCGTCTGCGCTCTGTGTCCAGCTGTGTCTTGTCTCCTGGAAGGGAATTCTCCAGAACTCATCTTATCTGCTCCAGAGACACTCACAGGGGTCAGAGGAAGTGGGAGATCATTGTATGGAGCAGAGGATGGAGCCAAGTGTCCCAGCAGAGGGCCCT